AGATTATACCACAGCAAAATCTGAGTGCAGTAAAGGACAGTAAACTAAGAACAACAATGACTAAATACAGGCTGAGTGCTCACAGTCTGACTGTAGAGACGGGCCGATAAAGACAAAACTGGCAACCTCTAGAGAGGCGCATCTGCCCACACTGTGCCCAGGCAGAGGTGGAGACAGAGGAACACTTCCTCACCCGCTGCGCAGCTATCAGCATATTAGAGAAACATTCTACACCAAACTACAGAGCATTTACCCACAATTCACTGAGTTAGACAATGAATCACAGCTGCAATATTTACTAGGGGAAAAAAATGTGTGTGTTCTTCTAGCGGCCCAATACATTAATTCCTGTTACAAAAAGAGAAAGCAGACCAAAAAAAAAGGAAAAAAAGTGTAACATCTAATTAATTTAATCCTACATACCGAATAAAACTTTATTAATTAATTTATTTGCAAGTTTAGCTTAGTTTATGACAACCAAATAAAATATATATATCACCAAAATAAAGCAAAACCAATGAAAATCTAAATGCATTATTAAACTGCAGGCAATAGCAAAAGTACTAAAACTGCACAATTGCATTCTTTTCTAGCTTGCCTAAAACTGCATGTGCCATAAAATCAAGTCAAACAAGACAGAAGTGGGCCAGTCTCGCAGAACTTGTGGTCTCAGAAAATCTTCTGCAGTCCAGTATGTGTATATGCGCATTTCAAACACACAAAACCCTCTATTTGCACAGAAAAAGGCCCAGAATAACCTCTCTTTGAAATGTGTATCTGTGCAGTGCAGCCTCTCTAAAATGCTGTCAGGCTTTCTGAATTAAGCACAATAAAGTGGAGCAGGAAGCCGGCGGAGAGTCAGAAACAGGCCAGGGATTTGAAACGTCACCTAAAAAGCTCTGGTTGAAAAATTGATGCTCTATGATTCACATCTTGTGAGCTGCTTCTGTTTTTTTAGAGCTGCGATTGGTAAAAGTGTGTTTCTGTATTGAACCTTACACTGAGCAGGCCGATCTTTAATGGAGCAAATAAAACACACTGGACCTCTCACTACCAACATCTATCTCTCACATGTTTGGTTTGATGTCTCAAATGTTCCAATTTTTCTCCTAAGTGGAAGAAAATGCTGCATCTTTTCTTAGACATCATTAAGCAGGCATTTACGCTTTTACATTTACAGTAGCATGTAAAAAGATCCAAAGGAAAGTCTAAATATATTGAATACTGTCACCAAATAAATGAGTATATAGGGATTAAATATATCATGTGAACAAATAATTTGCTAAGAGGCAAATTGATACAATTCACAAAGCATCTGAAAGGTTGCTCTGCTATCAAAAATGGTTTTCAACAATTGAAAGAGTTTAAAAATGTCAAATAAAAACGAACAAGTTAAAAATGGCAAATAAAACTTATAAATGTGACCCTGGTCTACAAAAGAAGAATTAAAATGATATATATAAAATCTAAAAGCAGAATTTAAAGTCCATGTACAGTATGTATGGTCTGTTGGATTTGGTTGAGAAACGAATTTGAAAATCTGGAATCTGAGAGAAAAATAAATAAATAAATAAATAAATAAATAAATAAATAAATAAATAAATAAATAAATAAACAAACAAATAAATAAATAAACAAATAAATAAACAAACAAATAAATAAAAATCGCAGGTTGACTGAATATAAAAATATTTAAAAGTAAAAAATAAAAATGGAAAAAATAAAGATATAGTAAAAAAAAAAATATATATATATATATATATATATATATATATATATATATATATATATATATATATATATATATATATATATATTTGGCATAAAGTACAACAATCCATCATTTTGACAGTTTTTTTAATACCAAAATATAAAACCAAAATAGGTAAAATGGTAAAAATATGCCCATGTAACATAAGATTATTTGATCCAGGGTCACAAATGTTTCTTTGCAAACTATATATCAAATTAAATATTATATTGCTAAACTAATAAAATACTAAACAATACAAATTAACATTTAAAAATTACTAAAATTGAAAATATTTTTTGAAAAATTAAATAATAATAAAAAAATAGATGGAGGAAGTCTTATTTGTTTTATTTCGGCTAGAATAAAAGCATTAAAAAAAGCCATTTTAGGTCAAACTTATTAGCCCCTTTAAGCTATATTTTTTTTCTGACTGTATACAGAACAAACCATCATTATACAATAACTTGCCTAATTACCCTAACCTGCCTAGTTTACCTAATTAACCTAGTTAAGCCTTTAAATGTCACTTTAAGCTGTATAGACGTGTCTGAAAAAATATCTAGTGAAATATTATTTACTGTCATCATGGCAAAGATAAAATAAATCAGTGATTAGAAATGAGTTATTGTTTAGAAATGTGTACAACAGAAATTGGGAACAAAAATAAACAGGGGGGGGGGGATAATTCAGGGGGGCTTATAATTCTGACTTCAACTATGCACAGTTGAAGCCAGAATTATTAGCCCCCCTGAATTATTGGAATTATTAGAAAATTTCCTTGTTCCTGTTAAACATCATTTGGGAAATATAAAAAAAATTCAAAGGGGGAATATTGAACATAGAAAATTCAGATTTTCTACATGAATTAAGTTGATTGCAAACTTGACTATGATGTCCAAGATATAGCACACCATACAACATTAGGGATAAGTAAAGCTCAAATTGAACTAAAAAAAAAAAAAAAAAAAAAAAAAAAAAATTTATTCTTATTTATTTATTTTAATGAAAGCGTTTTAGCAACGACTGCAATTACCCCCTTAAAGCGTGATCAAATTCCCAAATTTCTTTCAGATAAAAACCCCTGCAGTCTGTGTGTTTGTCCTCATTTCAGCAAGCCGAGATGCTGTTAGTGAAAGGATGCTGAAAGACATCACAGACAAGCTGAAGACACACCAGCAGACATGACAGAGTGCTACAGCCAATGGCAAAGCAGCCTGATTTATTAAAAAACACACTGCCATGTGCAGGCTGAGCACGAGTCCACCGACAGTCTCTCTTCAGGCATGTGATCTACCTGCACGTCCAGCACTCAGACTGCAGACGCTCCCTGCACACCGATGAACTGATTAATACACACACGCGCACCCGAGACATTCAACTGACCCCAGGATAAAACATCTGCATTCTTAAAAGAGCCTTTTATCAGCAGCTCAACCACACCGGCAGATGAGATAAACAGGGCCACGCTGGAAGAGAAGATCATTATGCAGAATAACTCGGGAGAAAAGCAAAGAGATGAGATCACAGCAAGAGCTGAGCTGGAAAGAGAGAGCTGAAAAACGAAAGATGTAAAAGAAAAAGAGAATGTATCGATGCAAAAAAATGTTTCCATACTTGGGGCTTTTGTCTTTTTTTCTAGCCTGATGAAGAGCCTGTGTGCTCAAAACATCACCTGCTTTGTGATAGCTTTGTTTTTAAGTTAATAAATTAATATTTTTGGGGCCTATGCATAATTGTAGTCCAAACATCTAAAATTCTTAAACCAAGAAGCACTTTCTAGAAAAGTTAAAAATTTTATTTTGTTTTCCAGAATCTTTTTTATTTTTTTATATATTGATTAATTGAGTTTTTTTGAGAACAAGCTAAATAATATACCACCGGGGAAAGTAATTGTTTTGATTATCAGCAAAGCAGCGGCTGCAGATCGCTAACGGACTACAAATCCCAACCCAGGCTCATTCTGAAAACGTAGTCGCATAGCCGTTTCTGGAGACCGTGAAATACGTCCCGGGAGGTATATATTTTTGCAGTTTTTGTTTTCGCGAATCCACAAGAGGCCGATGTGTGCGTTTTTTCATATCTCAGATTTCTCTCACAAGTGCCGGTCTCGCCCGCGCTATTCACGCGTAAACCACCAGAGGCCGCTGTCGACTGATTGTCTGTCTGACTGACTGAATGACCGAATGGCAGATTGTGTGACCGGCCAATCGGCTGAGCAACGCTTCTTCTTTCCTAAACCCAACCTGTATTATCGACTGACCCACCAACCAGCTTACTTCCCCTTAACCCAATAAACGGTTTAAAAAAGTCGTCCAGAAAAATCCGAGTTTTACCATGTTTTCGTGTTTTACCACATTCTCACCCTGTTATTCACTTGTTCATTTTATTTTTTGGATTCTGTATTTGTTTTACCTGATTTCTGGAGACGCTCTGCTCGGACTTGAATTTCATGCTTTTCTAGCTGTATTTATGAAGATGGTTCTGCATTGTATGCCCAAGTCCTCTCTTGTGCTCTATTATGATCCCTTGGGCTTAACCTATCACCTGTATTCAAAGACATCCACTCACCCTTTATGCATTGTTCATTGTTTGTTTATGTTAGTAAATGCATTATCTAACATTAACTAAAACAACCTTACAGTAAATTTGTTTTTAGCAAGATATTTCCATTTTGAGGGAGTCTCACGAATAATTGTATTCTCCCGCAACACGCATATACATTCATCCCTTGGTAGTGCAGGACTGAATATTCACACTGGAGTGATCATATTGCATTGAAGGTCAAAATGATTAGCATATTTGTGTAGTCTCAAAAATACCAACGATAAATGTCCAAAAACATCACCACAGTACAAGCAGCTCTGTCTAAAACAACATAATACCATGTTACTTTTGCTTCTAATCATGCAATAGCACTGAGAAACCCAAAACTTAAGCAGTTGGATGTTCATTAGTCGCACACTTGACTGAAAAAGAAGAAGCCTGAAACAATCAGTGAACTTTTGTCACGACAAGAAAGAGATGTAAAACACAGAGACTGAATTATTCTGCGGTCTTCTGTCTGTTTTGACCCAATTTACACTTTTTTTCCCTAGAAACAAGCTGTTTAAACAGAAGTGAAGTCGTTAGAGCTGATGCAAGAAAAGCAGACTCATTAAAGCCATCGGGAAGAAGACAGCAGCTAACTAAAGGAAAATAAAGTACTGTGGGGTTAGAGACAAGCACAGAGACATGACGGGTGTCCTACCTGTCTGACCGAGCTGTGAAGCGCTGCGACTCTTTCGGCTCAATCCCACCACTGCCGCCATCTTAGCTCCGATGCTGGAGCGCCGTTTCTTGTCGTCCGTTCCCACCAGGCTTACGGCCGTGTCCGACTGGCTGCCGTCGGTCTTCTCCAGGCTGCACATGTCTCCGCCGATGCTGGTGCTCTTGGTCATGTTGCCTCCAGCCGCCGTTCCCATTTGCCTGTTTTTCATTTTGGATGTAAATTCACTGTCAGTGGCGGCCCGTGGTGGACAGATGTGAGGAGAGGAGGAGAGCAGTGAGGGACAGATGGATGAAGGGATGGATGGATGGACGGACGGATGGATAATGGAGGAGAGAAAGGAAAGAGTTAGGTAATTGGAGGGAGATGTGGAATGGAGATTCAGGTCATAGGGTAAATGGTTTAGGCCTCCAATCAGTTCAGGGTGCTTCATAGTTGTGCTTCAGTATAGGTTGTGATGTTCTAATGCAATGGTTTCAAACTCAATTCCTGGAGTGCCGCAGCTCTGCATAGTTTTGCTTCAACGAACTCCAACTCACACCTGCTTAATAGTCTCTAGTGGTCTTGAACACCTTGATTATCTGTTTCTGTGTTTGATTAGGGTTGGAGTAAATCTGTGCAGAGCTGCGGCCCTCCAGGAATCCAGTTTGAGACCTATGTTCTAATGTTATCCCTGTGGGCACCAAACAACATCAATTTGACATCAAAAAAGCAAATCGATTTGATGTCAAAACCTTGATGTCTATTTGACGTCCACACTTTGATGCCCTTTTGACTATTAGAATAACAACTAAAACAATATAACAAAAGAAAATCATATGTGTTCATATGTCATGAGAGGCTGCCCTAATCTATTATCACTCCATGATCATTTCTAATATCACTTATTGTTTAACCACTTGATTGCAAGCTAGCATTACTACTTTAATGCCACTTGAATCATTGTACAAACAATCTTTAAAAACCATTGATAAGAAATCAGTTCAATTTCACAATTGTTCAATATTAAAGAAATACAACCTGCTTAGCTAGGAAAATTGAATTAAATACAGTTGAAGTCAGAATTATTAGCCCCCCTTTTATTTTTTTCTTCTTTTTTAAATATTTCCCAAATTATGTTGAACAGAGCAATGAAATTTTCACAGTATGTCTGATAATATGTTTTCTTCTGGTGAAAGTCTCATTCATTTTATTTTGGCGAGAATAAAAGCAGTTTGTAATTTTTTAAAAATCATTTTAAGGACAAAATTATTAGCCCCTTTAATCTGTATTTGTATTTGATAGTCTACAGAACCAACCATCATTATACAATAACTTGCCTAATTACCCTAACCTGCCTAGTTAACCTAATTAACCTAGTTAAGCCTTTAAATGTCACTTTAAGCTGTATAGAAGTGTCTTGAAAAATATCTAGTCAAATATTATTTACTGTCATCATAGCAAAGATTAAATAAATCAGTTATTAGAAATTAGTAATTAAAACTATTATGATTAGAAATGTGTTGAAAAAATCTGCTCTGCATTAAACAGAAATTGGGAAAAAAAATAAATAAATAGGGAGGCTAATAATTTGTTTACTGTTTAAGACTTTACATAACTTGACTTCACCATTAAATTAGTTTGTGAAAGACAGCTCACTGAATTACTAGAGATGGTGAAAGAGGGGATTGCCTTATTCCTCTTACAAAAAGTAAATTCAGTCAGATCCCTTACTTTTTTTTTTTCAGTTTCATGGTAAAAATTGGTTATTTACAAATTAGCATTAGTGCTGTATTTTTGACACTTTGTTGTTCTGTGTTTAGCTTTGTTGTCAATTAATTTGTTGTCAAGTAATTACTATTTGACTAGATATTTTCAAGACACTTCTATACAGTTTAAATTGACATTTAAAGGCTTAACTAGGTTAATTAGGTTAACTAGGTAGGTTAGGGTAATTTTGCAAGTTATTGTATAACGGTGGTTTGTTCTGTAGACTATCGAAAAAAATATATAGGTTATAGGGGCTAATATTATTGACCTTAACATTTGAAAAAAAAATTATGTAAACGGTTTTTATTTTAGCCGAAACAAATAAGACTTTCTCCAGAAGATAAAATATTATCAGACATACTGTGAAAATTTCGGATTTAGGAAATTTAGGAAATATTTAAAAAAGAAAAAAAATAAACCAACGGGAGGGCTAATAATTCTGACTTCAACTATATATATATATATATCTATATCTATATATATATATATAGTTACATATTATTTTTTTTATTATTATTTTTTTTCATTTCCAAGTGCTGTTTAAAAGAGATACTATAAACTGATAGTAAACTGATTAGGGTAACTATACAATTTATTATTTTTTTAATTATTAATCCAAACTACTAAACTTAAAAAAAATAAAAGTTTCTCCAGAAGAAAAGTTGCTTGTTGCTTGCTCTGTTACACATGACTTGGGAAGCATTTGAAAAAAGATTTAAGCTAATCATTTTGTCTTCAATGAATATATGTATGTTATAAATGTATGATAATGAATTATAACTGACCAAACACTAGTCATGTTATAATGCAGCATGCTACTTATTTTGGTTTTATTACAATGCGATTTTCCTTTGCTAAATGATATTCACTATAGACCTCAACTTTGAACTGTACAATCCTAAATGAACCTGAGCTTGTGCCAACGCATCGTGAGATTGCAAATCATGTGTTTATAATGCTTAAAAAAGCTGTCTAGAGGCTCATTGTGAGTCAGAAAATCACAGCTCACACACTTCCCACAAAGTGCTCCAATAAAAAATCCCAGCTAGTCCACCTATTTGATCCTCACTGAAGTCAACATCTCACGCATGAAGTGCTCGGTAAACTGGCACCGAGTCTGATTTAACGTCACTCACTCAACAGTGAAATATACGCTGCTCTATTTTCCACACACACTGATCTATTTTTCTGTCTGCATGACACACACTCACAAAAAAAATGAGGACACGTGTTAAAAGATTGAATTAGCATCTCGTGCCGCTGTGAGTCGACCGTGAAGCGAAGAGATAAATGACTTGCCGGACAAAGGATCCTAATTGAATCTTAATGATTATAAATGTGTTTAAATGACACACGTGCGGCTGTAGAGAGGTCTGCTCTTTTACATCCTCATCATCAGTGTAATTAACAGAAACCTGTGCTGGAAATCAATGAGCTCTGACAACAACTTCTTTAATTATTACAATTAGCCGATTGGAAATTAAGCCCATTCATAATTGGCTCAGATCAAGCCACGTCACACAAAATGGATCATGAAATGTTCGGCACTGATGAGAAAGAGCAGTGTCAAAAACACTGAGGAATAACTCCAAATAATAATGAAATCTCATTCATGTCTTAATTCTATCTATGAGGAAACAAGATGGAGCGGCTTACTTTTTAAGTAAGTGTTTTGCTAATAGGGGGTGTTTATATTACACAAGAAAAAATGGAAGAAAAAATTTATGAAAAATGTATGGGTTATTTTATTTTTTTTACATTAGCATTGTCTTTCACTTAGAATTGCCAAGACATCAAGCTATAGCAAATAGGAGGACAAGCAATATTCAATAAAATACACATTACAAAATAATGACTTTATTTATTTATTTATTTATTCCTTTGTTTTTATTAGTAGTTTTCTTTGCTATTATTATTTTATTTATTTATCTTTAATTATTTATTACTATATTAAAATATATTGTTTTCCCCGTGCTGGTGTGGTTTTCCTCTGGGTGCTCAGGTTTACCCCTTACAGTGTGAATGAGTGTGGATGGATGTTTCCCAGTACTGGGTTGCAGTTGGAAGGGCATCCGCTATCTAAAACATATGCTGGATAAGTTGGCGCTTCATCCCACTGTGGCAGCCCCGGTTGAATAAAAGGACTAAGCTGAAGGAAAATTAATGAATGAATTAAAATATATTATCTGTCATGTTAAACATGTACTGGTACATACGCTGTAAAAAAATCTTGCTGCCTTCAATTGTTAAGTTGAATCAGTTATAAAAAGTTAAACTTAAAAGTTAAAACAACATAAAAACATTTGCTATCTTTTTTGCAACCATTTTTAACAGTGTATTGTGTTTTTTATGTGTTCTTGGAGGTCTTTTCTTTTGTAATGTATCCTAAAAATGTAAAAAGTAAATGCAAACGTCATCAAGCTACTTTAAATCTTCACAAGAAAAAAAAAGAAAAAATATTGTAAACTGAAAACAATGCACCGGTCAAAGGTTATGTGTATAGTATGTCATGTATTTACCAATGGTATTTTAGTAATAAGAGCAACACGGTGGCTCAGTGGTTAGCACTCTTGCTTTACAGCAAAAAGGTCGCTGGTTCGAGTCCCAGCTGGGTGAGCTGCCGTTTCTATGTGGAGTTTGCATGTTCTCCCCGTGCTGGTGTGGGTTTCCTCCGGGTGCTCCGGTTTCCCACACAATCCAAAGACATGCGCTATAGGTGAATTGGATGAACTAAATTGGCCATAGTGTATGAGTGTGAATGAGTGTGTATGGATGTTTCCCAGTACTTTGTTGCAGCTACAAGGGCATCTGCTGCGTAAAAGATATGTCGGATAAGTTGGTGGTTCATTCCGCTGTGGGGACCCCTAATGAATAAAGAACTAAAGAAAATGAATGAATGAATTTTAGTAATATTTGTATACTATTACAGAATTTATTTATGTTTTGGATTGGATTTAATTATTATAATATATATATATATATATATATATATATATATATATATATATATATATATATATATATATATATATATATATATATATATATATACATAGTTTTCAACTGAGTTTTAGTTTTTGTTTCAGCAGTTTTAATACTTCTATTGAGCTTTACTTAATTTCAGATGTAGCTAATTTAGTACTTCCTTCATGTAACTTCATGTATTTTTTTGGTTTGTTTGTTTAAACCAGTGTTTAGTAATATTTACAGACAAAATACAAATTTAAGTGTTTTTTTTGCTGCATTTTATTAAAGCATGTACTGTAACCAAAAATTAATATTTTTAAAGAATTTTCTCACAATAAGTTTTTTCCCCTCATAATCTCCACTATTTTATCAGTACTTAAAAAATTAGTTTTATTCAAATTTAATTTATAACATAATAATAATAATAATAATATATAATAATAATAATAATAATAATAAATAACAGAAACAGCAATAATAAAAT